AATTAATAGCCTTATTTTATCCCTTGGAAGAATTTCTAATTTGGAGGGAATACTTCTCATTGAGTTCTATTATTGGATATAATACTGACTTTTGCATGGAAATAGTTCATTATTTTTAAAATGTATTTTAGAACAGGCTCAGAAACTGGGGAGACATGTCCAAAGGACACAGCAGCTGGCTTAGGGGGTATCCTTTTGGGATAAATTTGAAATGATTGAACTATCAAATATAATGATAGAAATGGGTTATGACACAATGAACTAAAAACAGTATTCCATGAGTCTCCACACTAATATATAAAGGAAATTAGAGAGAAGGGGTAAAGGGAATGTGCTTTTTACAGAAGAATGCCTGCTAATAAATATAGAAAGAAAAATAGAATAGAAAATCACCTTTATTTACAACAATTATACTAATAGATTTAGGCAACAGTCACTACTTGATGCTAAAATTATTGGGTAAAAGACTGTTTGGAAACAGGATATTCACATGGTCTCAAAGTATCATCTCATGGATTACTTAGTAATTCGAAAGAAAAAGGGAACTTTAATGGAGAAATATGCAGGTATCATTTTAAGCAAGACCAATAAACTTCACAACACCATTAAAGGACTTTCTGTCATCATGTGCTTCCTAATATAATACTGTCTAGAAGGGCAAGATGCCACTTATGTTGTTATATTCCTGTCAATTGTTTTAACCTAAGTCTAATCATGATGAATTAACCAGACACATTCAAATTGAGGAAGAGTATAAAAAACAATTTACCTGGACCTTAATGTAAAAACTAAACAGGACTAGAGAATTGCTCTAGATGAAAAGAGAATGAATATTGATTCGATCCTAATTTGAAAACAACAATAGTTTAAGATACTTTGGGGACAAATGGCAAAATGCAAGTATGGATTATAAATTATATTAAATATCAATGTTAATTGTCCTGATATTCTGAATATGATCATTTTATTATCACAATTGTGTAGAGCATTGTTCTTAAGAGATACATACTAAAGTTTATATGGGTCAAGTGCCTCAGTGTGTGTAACTAATTCTCCAATAGTTCAGAAAAAAAGTGTATATATATATATATATGTGGATATGCACAATCATAAGCCCATACCCATGAAGTTGGGAGGACAAATGTGCAAGAGGTTAAAAATTCATTAAACCAGGTGAAAGGTAATTGAATGTCCTATGAGGGTAGTTATTAGACCCTTCCTTAAGTTTGAAATTTTTCAAAGTTGAAAAAGTGAAATTCATTTTTGTAGCTCATATATAATTTCAAAAAATTATAATTTAGCTATCCTATACCCACAACTATATATTCCTGGATAATTCCTCTAACAATTTGTTTTAGTTTGTTTTTTCAGCCTATATAAGAAGTTTGTGTGTGTGTGAGTGTGTGTCTGTACACGTATGTATATATATTTGTGAGAAACTGTAGTGTCTATATTGAAATAATATTCCCCATGGAATCTTCTCAGCATGTATATTTTTTATTGGATATTCTCTACAAAGTATCTTGAAGTAGAAACTTCTTTCCTCCTTTAAAAAACTATACTGTTTATTACCTTGTTTTGAAATGCTTTCCTAAAATGGCCTAATAAACCTTTATACCAAATACTCTATATTTGCCACAAAATGAATGTCTTTATGAATTTTTCTGAAATTTCAAAATAAAATTAGCATGAGGAATTACCACTTTGCAGTTCAATTTTCTAATACTTGATAAAAACAGTCTATGAGTGCTACCTCTCTTAACAAATTTATAATTTTTAAATGCTTATCACTGAGTATCTGCTTTCCCTTTCTATACTTTGCCATCCAATTCTACTATTTCTTATTTAAATCTAATTCCTATCATATTCTAATTCTTGTCATTGTCAGTCTCATTTGGTCTATTATTATAGTGCTGAAATTGAAGAAAAGACGTCTTTCAATTGAACATAAAAAATTCCTAGGAGGCCCAGTTTTGTCATTGACTGACATTAAAATTCAGACATCTCTTTGGTTGTCTGAACATCTTGGTCAGCTGGTAATCTAAAAATTTCATTAGACCAGATAGGTAGCAATCAGTAATGAAGTACTCTAGCATAGAGTGAGTCTGCCATGCCGTCTTCATTGTATGGTTTCTGCATCTGTTCACTCTCAAACTGTAGCTAAAACTCCTACTCATTTTATCACACACATTCTCTAATACTTGGGATGATGTTGGGGTTGAGAAATAGATGGTTTGACTTGCAGTTCTTATAATTCATTTAATGATCTAATGATTGATGTTTCTCTTTCACATATAGAGTTTAACTCTTAGGTAATAGCAGGTACCTAATATTTCATCTGATGGGAATATTACTTTTGAAAAATTTTCTTATTTATAGTACCTACTCTCAAACTTGTAACATTATTCTGTTAACGGTTTCTAATCTCAAATTGTTTTTGACATCTCCAGTTTTGTTAGAGAATAGAGTTGCTTAAAATGACACACACAGAAGAACCATTTCACTACATCATTTGCAGAGGAATGTGAGTAGCCTCAGTGCACCTTATCTGTTGTTAACAGCCATTTTCAGCATGGAAATTTTGCTAGGAAAAATAGGGCAGGATGGTGAAAGTGGATTAATAAATGATGTGCTCATCATTTTGCATTTGTGCCCCACTTTTTTCTTTCTCAATAATCTGAAGATGACTTTACACCATATGGTAAACATAACACAAAACACAATTTTGATTCTTTTCTATTTTTAAAAATAATCTTGTTATTACCAAGTAACATTTTTTTCTTTTAGAAAATATAGAGGAGGTTAAAGAAAAGATTAATTACACCATCCAGAGATAATTATTTGGTGCTTACCCTACTGGATATTTCTCTTTAAGGATTTTTATTTTTTAAATGAGTTCATATTGTATATATTGTTTTGTTACTTGAATTCTTTACAAAATATTGTGAACATTGTTTCATAATATATTAACAATATTTTGTGGACATTAGTATATTATATAAACTGTAGCTAAAATGCCTACTCATTTTATCACACACATTCTCTAATACTTGGGATGATGTTGGGGTTGAGAAATAGATGGTTTGACTAGATGGTTCTTATAATTCATTTAATGATCTAATGATTGATGTTTCTCTTTCACATATAGAGTTTAACTCTTAGGTAATGGCAGGTAGCTATGCAGTAATATATTGTGGATATCAGTACATTGACAGTATATCGTGGACATCATAAAACAATATATTTCATTTTCTTCTTCACTATTTTATATGGCTGTATAATATTGTGTAGTTGTTCCATAACTTATTAAAGCTTCCTAATGTTGATTTAAATTTTTTATTATACCAGTGCTCTGATGACACTGACAAAATAAATGTTTGGGCATAATATTTTTTGAATAAAAAATATAATAGCTATATAAAATATAGAAAAATATTAAAATATATGAAAAATATAATTTTTGATACATATTGCTCAACTACTTTTTAAAAGTACTCCATACTGAAATAGATTCATGTACTTTTAGAGAAAACCAATAAGGAAGGTGGCTGGTTTAAATATTGTCTGAAAACGCTAGATAACCTGTTAGCACACTGTAGAATTGATGGTTAATGATCTGACGGTGTGAATAAGTTAATTACTATCATTAGTGTAACTTTTAACTTACAAGTTAGTTGCAATCATTAGGAACTTCTGAATTCCTGTTGGTTTCTTCTGTTCATTTTTCTTTTATATAGCTACTTTTCTCTTGTTTTATAGGAGAATTTTTGTATTAAGCATATTTACTAGTTGGTAAGTTATAAGTATTTTTTCCAGTTATGTGTTTTGCTTCATTGTGTATCTTTTACTGCATTTAATTTTAATTTTTGTTTTGTTAATTGTTTCATTCTTTTATGGTTGCTGGCCTTTGTGTCAAGTTAAGAAAGAAAATCACTACTGCAAGATCATAAAATTACCTTCTTGTTTTAGAGATAAAATTCTCTTTTAGAGATTTTATCATTTTTGTTTTCTACATTTAAAGATTTACCTAGATTTAAAAAATATGTAACTAGTCCTGCTCCTCCTCTACTCCTCCAGAATACATATTGGAAATGGTATGGTCCTTTTTAGGTTATCGCCATGACTGAGAAAGCACTACTGGTATTCAGTGGTCAGGAGCCAGGGATGTCTGCCAGACTCCTTTATTGCACAGGACTTCAATGGACAAAGAATTTCTGAATCCTACTTGACTTTGAACTGTCCTGCCAGATCTCTGAATCTTACCATTGCTTTCTGCCAAAAACAGTCTGAAAACTAAACATCTAAGAATTATGAATAAAAATAACAATGAATTTAATTCATTGTTTGGAATAACTGAGTTTAAAAATAACATTTGAGTATGTGGAGAAATTCTAAATTTTGTGTACCAGGGGAGTATATAGATTAGTACTTTTTTGTTGTTTTAGTCTTGATTGCTCCTTTTCCATGGTAGTATATTCTTGTTTTATTAATACCTCTCAAATATAACTGAAAACAAAATTGTAAATTTCAATCACCCCTCCTGTTTCTTGCATTATTTCTTTTCACTGGGTGCCATGTGCATAGCTTGGTCATAGTCTTCTCTTTTGAGCTGCTGATTCTCTTTTTATATCCAACAATTCTTAAGTGTTTAGGTCTTCATTAATAGTATTGTTACCTCTCTTGGACTCCTTCAGCGCATAGGTAGGTCTTGGTTGCAGGGGTTTCCTGGCAGTAGTGGGCTGGGAAACAGCGAATTTTTATTACTGAGTATGATAAAGTTGTAGAAAAGAAGTTCAGTCTGTTAATATATACAAAGGCCAGATAAGTCATTCCTTGTTATTTTCTGCTTTTTTATATAACAAAGGTAAGGTAATATAGTTTGAATATATAGCCTTTTGGTGATGAAAGATATTTAAGAATAGTATCTGAGAGAGTTGAAAAAGACATAGCTTATAAATAATTTTCCATAAATATCATTTCTTTCTTTTTTTTTTTTTAAGCAAATACGCACAAGAGAAGCTGAAAAAAAAGGCAATTCTAGAATGTGAAAGCATCTTTGGAGATCATGATGAAAAGGTACATAGCTATAGTTTCTATAGAATTTCAATAACAAGTGCAGAAATAGATTTCTTATGGCTGTTTGTTCTTTTTCAATTAAAAAATGGAGTTTATGTAAAGAGCTAAGATATATATAATCCAAGGTTTTAGCCATTTGGAAGTTATTTTTTATCTAACCATAGAACTTACAATGCACAAAAGAATTGAGGAATTACATCACTGTCATAAAATTTCTTACATAACACTTCATGCAGCTAGACATTGCGTTGATGCTGGAAAGAAACCAGTTGTACCTAGTTTGCCAGTTCAAGATATATCCATATATTTTTGAAAGCCAGATGAAAGGGTAAAGTTATGTGCTGTTATAAATAATTAGAGAGCCTAACCAGAACATAAACTGGATAGAGAAAGAATTCAGTTCTGTATAGAAAAGAGTACTTATATGTAAACTACCACCGCAGCTACCGCCACCATCATCATCATTGTCACATTTATTAGTGTTTATTCAAGCACATAGGCAATAATCTGTGTGCTTTAAATGGATTATCTCATTTAATATTTCATAAGAACCCAATAAAGTAGATATCATTATCCCCATTTCTTGCATGTGGAAGTTTAGAGCAAAGAATCTAAGTAACTTGCTCAAGATCTCATAGCTAGAAAACAAAAAATGCCACACAGACTGAGTTAAAAATTCATGTTTATAGTATGGGGTATATTCAATACAAAGAGTTTGGGATCTGCTCTACTACACTGTGAGATGTTCACTGAGTCCTGGGAAATCTTCACATAAAGTATAAAACACCATAAAGCATCTTGTCCTACTTATTACTACAGTAGGCATTACTTTATTCTACTATAGCTCTCAAATGGTCACCACTGAATACCCAGCATTTATCACAATGCTGACTCTTAATTAATATTCAATAAATGTTCACAGAAAATGAATGAACCTCTATAATAATGTTCCTCTTGACTGACACTAAAAAGATGGGAGATTTAGTCTCCTACCAAATAAGTTAGTTTCAAAATGTGCCCCTAAATTACAAAAATGAATTAATTTGCCATAATAAATTACTGCCCTAAGTCAACTGTATTTTTAAGAAAAACTATTAAAAGTTAATCATTTTATCTTTACAGTGATTAATATTAAGTCATTGTATCTGATAATAGTTTAATGCTAGAACTGATCTTGTTTGGTGTTGGTCAAACTAGGGAGCACATGACAAAAAGGATTTTAATCTGTTCTTTCCCCCTTACGAAGGTGACATGTCCACAGGTCTCCTATGGTAGATTTCATTCACAAGTAGTTTATGTTAGGTAAAAAGGTGATATGTAAGATATTTTAACAGCTTTTTTGAGATATAACTTACATGTAATTCACTTTAAAGTGTACAGTTCAACAATTTTTAATATATTCACAGAGTTGTGTAACAATCAACTCGATAAATTTTAAAGTGTCTTAATTAACCCCCCAAAAAAACATGTGCTCATTAGGGGTCACTTCCTATTTCTCCCCACTCTCCACCCCAAGAAATCACAAATTTACTGTCTTTCTCTATAGATTTGTCTATCTTGGACATTTCATACAAATGGAATCATATATTAGGTGATCTTTTGTGATTGACTTCTTTCATTTAGCATAATGTTTTCAAGGTTCATCCATGTTGTAGTATGTATCTAGCTTCATTCCTTTTTATTGATGAATAAGATTCCAATGTATGGATTGTACCCGATTTGTTTATTCATCCATCAATTGATGGACATTTGGGTTGTCCCTAATCAAATGCATGATTTACAAATGTCTTCTCCCATGCTGTGGGTTATCTTTTCACTTTCTTGATGCTATCTATTGTAACACAAAGCTTCTGAATTTTGGTGAAATATTTTTTTCTCTTATTGTTTGTACTTTTGGTGTCATATCTAAAGAAGACTTTGCCTAACCCAAGGCATGGATTTATTGCTATGTTTTCTTTTAAGATTTTTATAGTTTTAGCTCTTACATTAAAATTTGTGATCCATTTATAGTTAATATTTGTTTATAATGTCACAAAAGGGTCCACTTTCATTCTTTTTCAAGTTGCTCTCCTGTTGAACCCAGCACTGTTTGTTGAAAAGACTGTTCTTTCTCCCTTGAATGGTCTTAGTATCCCTGTTAAAAACCAGTTGACCAATTAATGTCAGAATATTTCTTGACTCTTAGTTCTGTTCCATTAATCAACATATTTATATCTATGCCAGTACCACATTGTTTTGATTACATCAAGTGTTGGTTCTCTTTGCTCTTCTTTGTCAAAATTGTTTTTGTTATTCCTGCATCTCCATTTGAAATCCTGATCAGCTTGTCACAGCTTCAAAATTTCTGGATAGGATTTTGTAAGGGATTATGCTGAATCTGTAGATCAATTTCAGGAATATTACTGTCTTAACAGCATTAAGCCTTCTGATTCAGCAATGTGGCATATCATTCAGTTTATTTACATATTCATTAATATCTTACAACAGTGGTTTGTAATTTGCAAAGCTTTAAGTCTTATACTTTTTTTAAAGTTCATTTCTAAGTATTTTCTTTTCATGCTATTGTAAATGGTATTGTTTCCTTAATTTCACTTTGAAATTTTTGATTGGATTGAATACATAGAACAGTATATTAACATACAATTAACTTTTGTATACTCTTCCTTTATCCTGCCATCTTACTGAATTCCTTTATTAGTTCTAATAGTTTTTATTATAGTTCTATTAGTTTTAGTTTTTATATATAGAAAATCTTACAATTTTTTATATGTATATATATTTTCTATATATAAGACAATGTTCTCAGTAAATAAAGATCAATTTACTTTTTCTTTTCACAATGGCTTTCTTTTCTTTCTTTTCTTTGATTTTCTTGCCTAACTATCCTGGCTAAAAACTTCATAATGATACTGAACACAGTGGTAAAAGTTTTGTCCTGATCCTAGGAGAAAAACATGCAGTATTTCATTATTAAATATGATAATAGGTGTGGGTTTTTCATAGATGCCCTGTATTAGGTTGAGGAAGTTCCTTTCTCTTTCCTAATTTGTTTAGTGCAATGTTTAAAGTATTGGATTAAAAGTATTCATTACTCCATTCTTACACTGGATTCAACATTTTGTGTTTTTGAATCCACATCACATAGAGACAGCAGTAACTAAAATATCCTTCAGTTATATTAACAGCTCTTCTGTTATCTATTAAACAATGCTTCTACTTTCTAGTTGTTTAAACCTGGGCAATTTTTACTTCTGTGCACCTGAGTTTCCTCATCTGCAAGTTGGATTTGATAGATTTTAGTTCCTACCTTATAGGGCCTTTTAAAGACCAAACTATTTACAAGTAAAGCATTTAGAAAAGCAGTTGCCCCCATTGTAAGGACTGATATATAGCTTAGTTGTTGTTAAGAATATACATAATTTATGCATAAATTAATCCCTGTACTTTTTTCCACATGTACATCTTATTTAGAAGGCATTTCATAAAGAAAATAACCTTTTATTCCAAGCTTTTTTCAACCTATTGATTATTTTTAACATGATACTCATATTTCTCTTCGAAGAATATTTAAGCAAACTTGTCTATGGCTACATATAGAGCACCTACAAAATTAGGTAATACAAGACTCAGAAACTCTCGTTCAATTTTTGGAAAGTTTTTCTATCATTTTGGCTTAAATTTATGCCTTGCCTGTTCCTACAGATGACTTCAGTTCTTCAGATCATGTTTATTTTAAAAAGCCATGTAGTGCATCTGTAAAAATGCTTGAGAGGCATCTTCCTGGTTTTGATATTTAGTTAGCTGAGCTACTTCCTTAGATAACATGAATGAACAGCTATGAGAAGCAACACATTTTGCCATGAGGAACTAGATTCATCAAGGACATCCTAAAATTTAAAGAACCAAGTTTGTAGACTTTTTATATCAGAGTTAAAAAAATCATAATTGTATTCTAAGAATTCTCTAGGTGTAAATTGAAAGAAGACAGGTACAGCTTTTTCTTATTGACTGTTGGTATGAGGTAGACATGTAGAGGTGAGAAGTTTCAAAGTGAGAAATTCTTTGGATTTCTTTGGAATCAACTATGGGAGCACCAGTTTCAGCATGTTAATTTTCTTACCTTATGAACAACCTTTGTGTATGATTTACTCTCATAAAATTTGAGGACCACTTTTAAATTGTTTTTTAACCACCTAAAAAAACCCTCTAGATTTAACTGACCTCCCCACATTTGATAAGAATGTAATTTTAGCACAAGCAGTCATTTAAATACACCTCCTAATGCAGAGATAAAATAAAGACCCATGGCACTGGAAATAATTATCACGAAACTCTTGTATTAAAGCAGTTCCCTTTCTCCTTATACCCTCACTAAGTTTATTAACTCTTGACATAGTTTTCTATTTTTCCAATACAAAAAAGCTTACAAGAAACACCTGAATATAGAAATTTGTAAAAGTGTTTGGAAAGAAAAGGGATGACATCCTTTTAAAGAACAATGTGAAAAATGAAAGACATTAAATTTATGATACGCTGACACTGAATATGTCAGTGTATCATAATAGATGGACTGGAATAATCGAGTAAAGTTAAAATCATTCTTTACTTTTCTACTTTGAAAGGCAGGAATGCATATGGTATATTTTAATATGCTTTTCTTCAAAATGATTACATTTTTAAAAAATTGACGTTTGATGAGGTCATTATCAGTTATTTAGAAAATTATGTCAGTTTGTTTCCTAAGAACTCCAGAAGTAAAGAATGTGCTATTATTTTTTTTAATTTTGAAAGAGTTTTAAGAGATAGAAAGTGAAAATCAAGTGTAAATGCTCAACTCCCCACTGCTTTCATCCCTGAAGCATTAAATGTTAATTCTTCTGCACCTTTGTAATTTTTCTTTTATATATAAGCATTACTATATTCCCACTATATCAAATGCAAAATTTTTCACATTTTAGTATTTCTGAAATTAGGATGTGTCTTACAATTGCTTTATAGGT